AAATCGGTCCTAAATGTCCTATTGTGACTTGGCTCCCAAGACCCAGAGATAAACACTAATACCTATATCACTTAGACTTCTAATAAATACCTAGCAACACTACTCAGACATCTATCCTAACGCATAGCTTCCCTAACAGCCTTACTCAAACACTTCTAGAAAGGTTTTAAACTTCTAAGGTTACGATCCAGGACCTGCGGCCTACCAATCGGCCCCAGTGGCCTAAAAGAACGGCCAATTTCTGATCGAATGCGACGATGTCACAGCAACCAGTCACTAAAGGCTAAGTTGCCCTCCGAAGAGAAGGCCACCCAAGCCCCCACCTTTCCCCATGATTGGGAGAACCAGTAGCGGTTTTTATCCCCCTGAGAAGCGGGGGGGGTGCCAATCGACCCTTATAGTTTGGCGGATCAAGAATTTAATCAGAGCTGTCTGTTCCTGGAACGGGCTCCTCTGATTGTCGACGGCCGCTTTGTTGCGCGCCTTCCACAGCACCTCCATTAGAGCTCCTCTAAAGGTCAGCGCCACATATGAGATCCCTCTAGTGAAGTCCAGAGTCTCTTCCTTATGTGCGTATAACATCCATTCCTGAGACCACTGGAAAGCGTCCCCTACCGCCTGTTTCCAGCGTTCTTTCCACCACTCCCAGACCTGGAAAGAATATGGACAGTACAACCAGATATGTGGGGCTGTTTCCCACCCCCATTCGCAATGGGTGCATCGTCTGCTGACATTCATACCTCTATCCGCCAGCCAGGAGGCTGAGGGCGTAGCCAGGAGGGATTGCAGCCACATAATGCTGGCTTGCTTCTGCGACACCAAGTACTTCAGAGCGCTCCAGATTGCAAACAGGTCTAGGCTACGCAAAGTAAAGCCTGGGACCTTAGCGTGTCTCTCTGCCGTCTGGATGGGCTGTTTTTTAGTCCTGGCTCGCTGTAGTTGGACTCCGACCTTAGGTTTGTAATCCATGAGTGGCACCTGGGAATCCGGGCCCCACACACTAGGCCATTCGTAGAGGAGTGGTTCCACCTGCAGGGCGGAAGCATCTGCTACCACAAGGGAGACTGTTGCACCTTTAGCCGTTGTCTGGGTGCACACCCTGCACTCTGTAAGGCCAATTGTGGACGAGATCACCAATTCTTCCTCTTTAGCAATCAGAACTTCAGAAGGTTGACCAACCTTCCAGCTTTACGGGTCCAGACTTGGACTTTCAGACCCTGTGCTAAATCTGGTCCCATGACCTTGAAAACATTGTTGTGGTCTACCGGGTCTAAGAGCCAGGTCCCGGGCCCATGTTCCACCGTGCTTGGTAACAGGGCCTTCCCATAGGCTGGGATTGCTTCTAAAAGCTTTGCATAATTACCCTTGACATTCCGGGGTCGAGGAAGTCTCGCCAGCAGTTGATCGTCAGAGATCCAAGCGTCTGCCGATGCATCCCACACATCCTTTATCTGGACAATACCTCTTTCCACCCGTGCTCTGCCAAAGGAGCCAGGGGAGGCATCGGCCTGAAGAGTCTGACCATCCCTGGTTTTGATAAAAGGATTTTCGAACAAAAGTTGGTTCAGAACTTCATCCCTGGCCTCCGGTTGTCTGAGGACACTAGGGAAGAGTTTGTGCCATGCGTAGAGAATATTCCGCCAGAGTTTGGACTTGGGGCTTCTTATTGCAAAAGATGGGATGAGTAAGCAGGCCCAGACGTCAACGGGTCTGGCCAGAGACCCTTCCCGAGCCAGGATGTATTCTGCGAGCCGCATCCACCATCCACAGCTTCCGTCGGGGGCCAAAAACAGTTGCGACCACCCATTTGCATAGCAGTGCCAAGTTCTGATGGATTGGCTCAATAATTCCCAACCCCCCCTCTGAACGGGCCGTACAGACAGAGTCCCACGCGACCTTACAGATAAAGCATTGCTCCGGCTGAGCCATCGGTTTCCAGAGATATCGAGCCACGTCCCGCTTTATACGAGCATATGCGGATTCTCCCAGAAGTGGATCGGCAAGGGGTACCAGAGAACCGAGAACGCGGACGCCGTTAGCACCAAGGCCCGTCCCAACACCGATAATTTGAAGTTGTGAGACCAGCTTGTGATTCGAGCTGCAACTTTATCTGCCAAAAAAGAATCTTGGGTCTTGGAACAGTCCGAGAGGGAGATCTGCACTCCCAAGAAACGTTCTCAGCCTGCTGCATTAGCTGGAACCCTTTTCAATTCCCAATCCACACTCAGAACTCGGGAATCAGGTAAGAAATATAGGGATTTATCCCAATTTATGGAAGTTTCCGATAGGTTACAATATGTATCTATAACTTCTCCAAGTGCCTGTAGAGCGACAGGAGAGTTGTCACAGGCTACCGTCAAGTCATCTGCAATCGCCCCACCCCTCCATTCGAGAGAAGGGGTAAGCTTCAGACCTATGATAGACGGGTTGTTTCTAATATTGTCTAATAAGGTCTCTAATTGCAGAACAAAAAGCAAGGGGGCCAACGGGCAACCTTGCCTGAGAGAACGAGTTAGCTGAAACTCTTCTGACAGTCTACCATTGACTATTACCACAGTCGTAGCTTGTTCGTCACTGGCCTTAACCGAAGTTAAGAAGCCTGGACCGAACCCCATTCCTTTTAGTGTCGTGTAGACAAAACTCCAACCTACTTTGTCATAAGTTTTTTCCATGTCTAATAGCAAAACTGCGACATCCCTTTTTTCCTTGCTAACGACTTCCAACGCTTGAACAGTGGCCAAAATATTTTCAAAAATAGAACGGCCTTTTATGAAAGCCCCTTGCTCCCAGCCGATCAAGGAAGGCAAAAGTTTGGCTAAACGAAGAGCTAGAGTTTTCGCAAGTAGCTTATAGGTCACATTAAGCACTGAAATGGGGCGCCAATTCCAGACGTCTTGCTTGGTTCCTTTTTTATACATTAGGGAAATCATTCCCTTGGTGAATCCGGGGGGCAGGACTCCCGTGTGGAGGGCCTCGTTGTAACTTTCACACAAGAACGGGGCAAAGGCTTCCCAAGTGGCTAGAAAAAATTCAATAGGGAGTCCATCTAGGCCCGGGCACTTTCCCTTGGCCATGACCTTTGCTGCCAACAGTAATTCCTGTTCTTCGATGGGTTTGTCCAAGTCCTCCGCAGTTACCTGCGATATGAAATTGATAGAATGGGACCAAAAGGAGGAGGGCTCGGCTACATTCGTCTGTGGATCATCAATGAGCCGACGGGTTGTTACTATATCCCTAAAGTACTCAAGGACATATGCACACATCTGATCTGTATCCACCGCCAAAGGGGTCGTTGAATCAAAGGGGTGAGCGAGCTCCCTAATTAGAGACTTTGATGTTTTGAGAATCAGTGAACGAAAAGTCAGTTTCGTCATACGATCATAACCTATTATTCCCCTTTGGTTAAGAAATTTCAGCCATTCCGACTGTTTTTGGATCTCTAAAGTTTCCAGTTGAGCGATTGTCTTTCTTCGTATGTTCGACCAGTGATGGTCTACGAAGGGGTCCGTACCAGTTCCCGCCTCAGCCTGTGTTATCGTGGAAAGCAAGGATTTTTCCTGCCAGGATCCTTTTGCTGCTTTCATACGGGAAAATGTTACCAGAGCCTGGCGCACAATCGCAATGCCAGTGTCCGCCCATAGAAGGGGGTCGGAGAAAAGATCCTTTGCTAACAACCATTGGGTCATATGTGTTTGAACCCACTCAATTAACCCTTGATCTTTTAGCAAATTAACATCTGAAGGGGGGCTTGTGGCGATCAATGACGTCTTTGGCCACTATGTCTAGAATCACCGGATAGTGATAAGAAATGTAAGCCTGAAGGCGATCACACTGCATCGCCCGATCCCACGGGTCCCCCCGCAGTAGAAAGAAGTCTAATCTCTTTCTGGGGCAGTGGGAAGAGTTTGATGGAGGGGGTCCAAACTAGGTGAACCCATTTTCCTCCGGATTAAAAGTACGATAGGCATCCACCAGATTTTGAGTTTCGCAGAAAGAAATCAAGGTGGCAGAGTCAATACGCAAGGGAGTAGAGGACAGCGTATCAGTCCCGGATTAAATACTGTGTTCCAATCTCCAGCCATAATTAAATTGGTTGAGTCTGGAATAGCCGTCGGCAAATCTGCGAAAAAATTTATTCTATCTGCATAGCAGACCGGGGCATAAATTAACATAACTGCCCATTCCTCAGAATCTATCTCGAATTTCAGCCAGGCCCAACGACCTTCATTATCGTTATATTGGTCCAACACTGTGATATCCAAGTCTTTGTGTACTAGAACGGCCACTCCGCCCTTTGAGCCCTATGCAGGGGACCAAACTTGAGGCCCAATCCACCAGCGACTGATAGCATCTATCTTTGGTGAATTAAGCTTCGTCTCTTGTAAACAGACAATTTGCACATTTTGTGAGTGAAGCCATCTCTTGAATCTTGTTTTCTTAAATCTCTTGTTTGAGTCTCCAAAGCCGTGGACATTCCAAGTTAGGATTCTGATCCTACTTGGTAGGACCATTTCCTGAGCCTCGGCCACGCGGGTTTTGGATTGCATGCAGAGCCAGAATTGCAATGTGCAATATTACTTTTTCCCCTGTTCCATTAGTGGCAATGTGTCTACCTCGCTTAGGTATTTGCATTACTGAGCATGAGGAGATTTCATGCGTGCCCCTTCTCTTGTTTTGGACTCCCACACCTCATCCGATGAGAGACCGGTAATGGGAATAGCTGGAATCGATAAGGTTTCCTTCTCATCCATATTAGTAAGCATCATTAGCCCATGCGGGGTAAGCGTTGCAACCAGAGGAACCATGTATTCCTTTGGCAGGCCTCTTGCTGTGTCGGACTTGGAAAGCGTTTACATCGGCTTCGCCTTAATCCCCTGTTTCATATCCGTTGATTTGACTGAGGGGGAAATCGAGGGGCCACCCGCCCGCGTTCTCCTATTCGGGTTTTGCGGCCCTGACAGCCCTTTGTTGGGTTTCCTCTTTTTGACCGGGGACGGATTCGCGGAGGGAGGCTTTTACTTCCTTCCACTCAGGGTGGATTTTCCAGCCGTCGGTGAGTGATCTCTGCTATCTGCAGAAATGAAATCTTCTTGATCCGAACCAGGAGAATATTCCTTTATTGGTTATTTGGTTTCCTCCTGTAAGTCATTAATGTCGAAGTCGGAACCGACATCATCTTCCTCCTGAGAGGAGACATATGTCTCGTTATAGAAAGTCAACATGTCCTGGGGCTTATGCAGGAAGGGTGAGGGATCATCCCCCTCCTCGTCGTCGGCGTCATCTGAGTCAAACGCGTCGTGGGTGGGGCCTATGCCTCCTTTGTGGGGAGTCAGACCAGCATGGACTACCAATTCATAGCCCTGAATCTCAAAGTCTGAATCATCATCCGAGAACAAGCGTTTCCGCTTTTCCCTTGGTGGAGGGGGGAGATCTTCTTCCATCTTTTTAAGATCCCCACTCCCCCTCGAACCCTCTGCTGTGTCTTTGTCCTCACGGGAGTCGTCCTCCAGTCTGCGTTTGAATTCTCCTTTGGTCTTGTCCTCTTGACCGTTATTCTCTCTCATGACTGTATCTTCTTTCTTAATCCCATGGACCCCCCCCTTCTCACCCCCCAAATGGGGATCCTTATTCGTGTCATTCCCTTCTCCGTCTCCCTCCTTTTCTTTTTGTTTGTCTCCCTCTTTCTTACCCTTCTCCTTTCCTTCCTCCCTTGACCCCTTTTCCTTCCCCCCGGGGTCCTTGTCCGATGGATCCTTACCACTTTTCCCCGTCTTCCCACCACCCTCCTTCTCCTCCTCATTCTCTTCTTTCTCTCTATCTTTCTCTTTTACTTGCTCCTTCTCCTTTTCCTTCCTCCCCTCCTCTTTCTCTTTCTCTCCCTTACCTTGATTCTTGTCTTTCGGCTTCTCCCTCGGTTTCTGTTTCACGACGTCAGCATAAGAGGCTTTGCGGGGCGCGGAACACTCATCTCCCTCGTGGTGAAAATGACGCTTACATGAAGGACACCAAGGCGTTTCTGCACAGACCACCTCAATGTCCACGTAACCATGAGCCCCCAAATCGACCACAAGGTATTTCTTATACCTCAGGCGTGCTACTGATTACAGGTCGAACCGAATGTTCAACAAATCTGGCGACAATTTATCCTTGAATGCTGAATATTCTTTGATTAGATCACTACCATAGGTATCACGAACTGTTCCAGGGAGCAAAGGAAGGGCTCCAATCGGGACTTGCTGACAGCAAATCCAGAAAAACTTGTGCTTTGCCACCTACCTATATTCCCACAACTCATTTTCTGTCATCCATGGTTTAAACGCGATTTTATACACCTGCCCATCCAAAGAGATTTTGGTCTGGACCACTCTGAGCATCCAAGCGGCCACTTCCTTTGAAGGTGCAATATATGTAATTAAATTTTGGCCTTCATTGTGGAAGAGACCTCTCTTAAGAGGGATGTTTGGAACCCCCCCCGAGGATGCCCACCCATTCTCGTATATTCTAACTAGGCATTTTTTGACATTGATGGGGGTAGAGGAAGGCTCATCTCCAAAAAAGATGGAGATCGCATGCTCCTGGAGCCACCCAGCTTGTACTTGATAAAGCTCCTGGTTCACTGTTACCTTGATGTAGTTCTCCCCCACTTCCACTTTGGACGAAACCAAGCGTGGGGGGAAAACGTCATCGAGGTAGCATTGGGAGATCAAATCGCGAATTCGTTGTTTCTCGACAGAACTGATAGGCGAACCAGACTCAGGGTTCGTCATAACGTCTCACTTTCAATACTAGAAAACTGAAAACCTACACATCCAAAGTTAGGAATATTCTACTTAGACGAAACTTCCATAAATTAAGATAATCCTATATTCATTAACAATAGATATGATCCCAGGAAAAGAGTCGGTATTCGGGGATTATACCTGCTTTCGCTCCCTTGTCGGCTTGAAAGGCGCATTCGGCTCTGGATAGTACCAGAGCAACCGTAGTCCTCCCAGAATCGAAGAGCAACGTCATCAAAAAGAACCGTCGAAAGGTCACTGTGAACATCAAAGCATACCGAAGAAGGTACTGAAAACGGAGAGGATACCCTGTCTTCGCTATATTCCACGCGGAGTAATCACCATAGATTATACTATGGCGTGGGTAACGTTCCCCGGCTCTCCCTCGGCAACCCCGAGAAAAATTCTGGAAAAGTCAGCGGCGAGACTAACCCTACGCCGTTTTGGCCGAACCGGAGACCGTACTCGGAGTCATGTCACAAAAATTAACGCAGAGTAGCGCTAACGCCGCTCTCTCCGCCGCCCCATCCTCTTTCAGAATCTGCAGAGTTGAAAGGGAGGACATCCTTGGCCGAATTGTTCATTTGGGACCGTCCGTTCTCTCCTCTTAATTTTTTTGTCATTTTTTATCATGAGGGACATGCTTGCTGAGTTGTCCTGTATTTTTATTTTTAAAAGTGTTTTTCGGCTTTATATCGGGAAATTGGGCGTTCTTAATTTTTTTTGAACACCCCATTTCCCGAAACAAACGCGAAAAAAAATTCTAAAAAACTACAGGACAACTCAGCAACCATGTCCCTCATGATAAAAAATGACCAAAAAAATTCATGCTTTTCTTTTTAATTTTTTTTATAAAATTTAATTAAATTGATTTTTATTTTTCATTTTTTTTAAAACTTAAACGAGGTACGATTCCAAAATAAAAAATATAGGATTGTAGGGTTTTGCAAGCCCTACAACCCTGTATTTTATTTTATTTTTTACATATTTAGAGAGGTATAAAAAAAATATTGAAAAACCAGGCCGCAGAAAGGGTCTCATTGGCTGCGGCCGCGACCGAATTGCCCGCGGCCTAGGCTGCGGGTGTCACGTAGTCGCTTCACAATTCCATCTCCTCCATACGTCGAGCATTGTCCTTCCATGCGCCATCCCTTGGTGCAGTGGAAGTTGGGAGCGTTGTGCGTGTTGTTCATCCGAACATCACCAGTGTCGTCGGTAGAAGGTTCGTGACCGAAGGGAATGAAATAACGCATGTCGTTCAACGTTGTGGCGGTATCTGTGTAACCGCATGAACGCCGTGAATGCGCGTTCACATTCAAACGTGCGCGTTCAAACCCCCCAGCCCCGCGTTCAATCGCGTTCAAACGTGCACGCGAAAAAATTGAACGCAGTCCCGCGGGGCGCGCGCACGCGACGGGGGCTACGGGGTGGTGGTCCGAGTTCGACAGATCCCCAAAGTGCGAAAATCGCCCCCCGGGACCACCCGATAGCCCCCCCGCCCCACGGCCCCCACCCCCAAAACCGCCACCTGCCAAGCCCCGACACCCCTACCCCCACCCAACGGAGGGCCACCCACTCCCGCCACCTCCCCTCCGACCGCGCTTCTGCGCCACCCGGGGATGTTTTTTTTTTTTTTTCCCCGCCCACAATTACAAACCCCCAAACCACACCACCCATTTACACAGACACACACTGACACACACACACATTCACACACGCACATGCACACATTAATTCACACTGTCGCACACACACGGGCACTTTTTTTTCTTTTTTCGCCAACACGTACAACCCCCCAAACTGCGCCACCCATTTACACACACACATAATCACATTCACACACACACACACAAACTGCGACCTTTCGTTTAATTTTTTTTCCAAAACATCTAATTTTTTTTTTTTTTAATAGCGCAAAACAAGGGGTTAGATAAATTAAAAAGAAGGGTTGCAAAAAAAAAAAAAAAAAAAGGGTGGTTTGGGGGGTTCAGGGGCAGGGGTGGGGGCGGGGGGCCAGGGGGGGCTACGGGAGGGTTTGGGTTATGAGGGGCCTAGAGGCACTTCGGGGGAAGTGAGATTTCAGGGCGAACTCAAAGCACACAAAACACTCGTCGTCTGAAAACAGAAACATCGCAAATGACAAGATGTAATGATCGAAGCAAAACGCTAACCAATATAGCATGGATAATAGCAAAAATCTGACACATCGTGTCGAAGCCCCGCCAGTCTGTGGAAAGAAGTACCAACCCAAAAATGCCGACGAATAGTACACTAAAATACACTGGAAAGCTACAATCTTCGAAGTAGCAAACTGCGCAGAAAAGTGCCTACTGGAAAGTACACTATAATACAACATCACGAAACACTACGTCTGTCATGGATAACAAAAAACTGAACTCGAACGAAATGGCCATGTACTCCTACGAAAGTAGACTAGAATACAACATCACGAAACACTACGTCTGCGCAAAAAAATACCCACTGGAAAGTAGACTATAATACAACCTCACGAGACACTACGTCTGTCATGGATAACAAAAAACTGAAGTACACTGAGAAAATCACGAAAACGCAAGTCCGTAATCCGTCAACAATCGTCGTGCGCACGCGGATCTCGCTCGGACCAATGAGAACCTCGTCCGTGGGACCGACCACTGCCACGTCCTTGATCTCCCTGACGCTGGCCGCCGCGTCTGCCAGTGGAAGGCTCGGGAGTGACGAGACGCTCGTCGGGGTCGTCGTCCATAATGAATCTCCTGCCTCTTACCGTCCTGATGCCTGCGGCTGCTAGGTCATCAAGTCGGCGTGACTCGCGTGCCATAGGTAGACCGTCTGTCCCTGAAGTCTCCCCCTCCTGGCGTCGATCTAAGGGCAGGTGTCTCTCCTGCCTCGGTTGTGTAACAACGTCAGGCTCCTGCAAAATAATCGACGCCTCTCTCAAACCGTATGTCAAGGGTGGATTCACTACACGCGCCGCGGCTCCGCCTGCACCCTCACGTCTGCCGTCGCCGTCGCCACCGCTGCCACCGCCGCCACCGCCTCTACCACCAAACCCTGAAGCTACAACATCTCGACGTCTCACGCCCGTGGAAGCCCCTCTCAAACCTGGCTGACGACCGGCACTCGCCGTCGTCACCCGTCTCGTCTCGCTCCATGGTCGATCAGTGCGACCGAACAACATGGTGTCCAGCAACTCCCACGCACGCTGGGTAGTGTCTCTCCATCTACGGGCAACCGACCTCAGAGTGAGACTGCCGCCCTCCCTCGGAGCTGCGGTCAAGGGTGACGAAGGGCCTGCGGCGCCTCCAGATGGCGCTGCGACCGAACCTCCATGAGGTAAGTCCCCTGCGGCCCCGCCAGATGCCGCTGCGACAGAACCTCCAGAAGGTAAGCTAGGGCTGGCTCGCCCCCAAGATAAGTGTTGCACATGAGGCAGCTTCCCCTCCTCCGGGACTGACCTCAAAACGCGCTAGTCGATCTCCGTCAAATCCCTCCTGCCGTGCTCCTCCAACTCGTCAGTGGTCATAAAACCAAAAGGGAGGCTGCCCCGAGGCGTAGCCACATGCCTAATCTCCGGCCTCGTCCGTGACGGCGCAAAAGTAGGGACCGGGGGTATGCACGCGCCCCTGCCTACACGTCTCTCCTCGACCTGGCCACCGCCATGTGCACGACGCCTATATCCCTCCAAAAACGGTGCCTGATGTGGCACCACTGGCCCCACAGCAGTGCGAACCACCAAAGTCTATGGCATCTCCTGTCCGTTCGCGTCATGCCTGTCCGCCTGTGCGGGGTCTCCCCCTCTAGACGTGGGCATCGGATCGGCCGTGGACGACACCCCCGACTCGCCAACACCAACGGCCCCCGCTATTGCCCCGTCCGCCCCGGTGGTCGGCGCTATCCCCTCCGCCTGTGCCGATGGGCGAATATCATCAACGCCCACTGACTGCCCCGTCTGTATGTTCTCCAGACCCGGGGACATCTGCACGGCACCCTCAACTGAACCCGCGGGCAGAGGCACGCCAGAGACCTCCAGCAATGTCTCCTCGGGCCTCAACTGGACGGCAGGAGGCTGCATCGGCTCCGAACGTGGCTCCTCTGTCAGTGCCAACCCGCTCTCGTGCGTCCCCTGCTGAACATCTACTCCCGTACTCGAAACCTCTGTTGAAGCCGCCTCCCGCTGCCTCGTGTCGTGAACCTCTGCCGGAGGATCCGTGTGGGCAGCTGGCGCTACGTCAATGGATGTCGGCGTAATTGTCCCCAACTGCCTCCGTGGGTCCTCGGCCGCAAGACGGGCGAGCTCCTGCGTCCTGGGGTCCCTCTGTGCCATGAGGGCAGCTCGACGACTGTCAAGCCTATCCAGCCTCTCCTAGATGTCTCTCCAGGGGGTTTCCGGTCCTCATCCCCCTCTGCGCCCAACATCACCTCTGCGCGCATAATAGGGGAGAAAGTACTCGGGTCCGCGAAGCTGATCTGTCCTAATAAGTCCTGCATACCCACACTGATGTCCCCACGGGACTCGCTCTCTCCTCGGGCCAGACCGACGCTCTCTCCCGGGGGCATACCCACGTCACCAAAGTCACTGAAACCTCCTCCGCCGCCCATCGGTGTCCCCTCAACAGCCGCAGCAACCTCGACACCGCCTCCACCTCCGGCCAACGCACCACCATCTCCACCAGCCAAACCCTGTCTATCTCCGTCGTCCCTTTGCACCGGTGAAGGACAACCCTCTAATCTGTCCTCCAATCGCTGTCTCGGGCCCCTCACCAATCTCTGCAATCGATCATCCCCGGCTGGCTGTCGATGAAGCTGCTCCGTCGAAGTGGGAAGAGTGGTGGATGATGTCGTGCCAGTACGAATACGCGTAGGACGATGTCGAATCCCCGACTCTGCCCCCCTCGAAGGTACAGACCCAGGATCTCTCTCTCGCTCTGCGGACCACGGGCCAGTGGACGTAGGCCTCTGACTCTCTAGAGGGCTCCCATGACGACCCCCAGACTTCTCTTAATCAACTCAAAAACGAAAAGGTCATCTCCCCCACTCCGTCTACGGACGTCCTCTGAGGCGCTCCACTCGTCACGCTCATCCGCCGCAGGAGTGGCAGTAGCGGGGCCCGCCGGCTCGTCCTCGTCCTCGTGACCCTCGGAATCACTGTCGTCTTGAGGGTACGGGTGCAATGTGGCGGCTCGACTCCCGAAAACATCGCCCACATCACCCGGAGGAGCTCTGGACCCACATGGGTCTCGCTGCCAAGAACGTCTCTGATCCTCGAGCTCCTCCCGCGTCCTGCTCTCGTCCGTCCCCTTCCACGAGGGGCGAATACTGATGCCTTCGTGTGTGGAAGTCGCGCAACTGGGCACATGCGGTCTCGTAGTCGCGGCTCGCCACACTGAACCCTGTCTGCGACAAGATGTAAGTCTCCTCCTTCCTCACCAAGCTCGTGTCGTAGTCGCTGACCACGCCCTCTAAGTACCGCAAGTACCGCCGGCTGGGACAGAGAAGGTGAGCAGCGGCGTGCGCCGGCTCCAGCATGTGAGCGCATCGAGCCTGCACCCTCTTCACAATGTAGTGTGCAAGATCTGCTGGAAGTGCACAAACCTCGTCTGCTGCCTGGCGGGCCAGATCCTGTATCCACTCAACCACCCGCGACATGTGCAGCCCTCTGCAGTCCAACCTGCGCAGCAGGTCGTACACAGGCTCCATGATACGAAACAAGGTGCCCATGGAATCCCACCAACTCCCATGTCGCACCTGCCACCTGAACCACCTAGCCAAATGACGAACAGAATAGTCCCAAGGGACAATACCCCAAGTATCGCCATCCACCGTCCTCTCCAAAGCTGACCTCACTGCCAGCAAACGCTCCACCGTCGCACACACGGATGCGAAACGTGTCTCGCAAGGATAGATGAGGCCCATCTGACCGCTCTCCCCCCGGAAGATATGGAGAGCGGCGCCGTGCTCCTTAATGAAGCGCACCAATGCTCTCCCCCTCACGATGATGTCCTTGGACCACGGCCCCGAACAGCCAATGTCTGACAACATCTTGTTGCAGACATGCACTGCGCATGGGAGCCACGTGATCCGTCGATGCTCTGGCCTCTGCTGGGACCCCTGGAGCATGTTCGCCATGGCGACGTACGCCGAGGCGAAGTCGGTGCAGATGGCGTTCACCTACTTAGGGGGGAAGTCATCGAACACCTTGATCCAGCGTGCCAACACATCAGGCGCCCGATCCCGCTTACCCTCCCTGTTCATCGTCCGGACGAGCATCACCCCACGCGACCCGCTGGCAAGAAAGTTAACAATGGGTCTAGCATCGCGTGACTTCCTTCCGTCTGACATAATGGTGGCCCCCGTGACATAGAAAGGAGCCCTGACCTCCGCGAGATCAGCTCCCACATTGTCCGCCGTATGGACAATGGTCTCTATGTCCGCGATCTCATTCTCTGAAGGCCACAACACCTTCACTGGCCCCGGTGCCGGACGACGTCCAACCACGGCTCGCTACGGAAGACGTTGAACGCCAGGCGCTGACTGTACACAAACTGCAGCCACCTCTTCTTGAACTCCATCTGCCACTTTGAAGAGAATGACTCCGTGATCGTGTTCTGTCTCATCCTCTTCTGTGCTGTCGTCGGTCTGGCCCCCTCCTCTCTCTCCTTCCTCTTCCCCGCAGACGGACCCGCCTCAGCAGTATCCGCACCTGCCCGTGTACGAACCGACACGTGCACCGACGCAAAGTACTGGCCCTGCTGCCCCCCCGGCTCGCTGACAACGCCCTTCCCTCGCTCCCTCCCTGACGACCCCGCCTGTGCACCCTCCTCGACGTCGTCGTCCACGTCGATCTGCTCCTTCGCGTCCCTCATCTCTCCCTCCCCCCCCTTGTCCCGTCGCAGATCCGTCGCAGGCGCCGCACCATGAAGCTCCTCAAATTGCTGGATCCGCTCTAGGAACTTGTCGGACATCTTGTACTCACTATTGTAGTGGATGTCGACAAGTGCCTCGTCGGTCACTTCCGGACATCCCTTGCCCTGGCGGAAATGGCGCGCCGCCACGAACAGGTTGCCCTGGAACTCGTGGCCACAGAAAACGCACTTCAACATGCGATTGCTGCGGAATCTCTCGCCGAGACTCTGTCCCACGCCGATGTACTTCTACACGCAACACTTCTTCTGCGCCTTCCGATTCTCGTCCTCCCCCCCATCCTCAAACACCCGAGACTGACTTCGCGGCATTGTGCCCGCTCGCCGATGGCTTCACCGAAGCGGTCCGCCCTCAGCCTGTCCCACGAAGCCCCAACTCCCGCCGGCGTCCCTCCCCGCACATGGCCCCATCGGACCACCCTCGAGCTGCCCCTCTTGTGTCGACTACGCACCTCCCCCCACGTCCTCATAACCCCCCTCTGCGCCAACAACGAGGCGCGGGCCGCGCACAAACCCCCCCCCCTCCAGCCGCCGTTCAAGAAATTGAACGCGAGTTCGAAGAACACGCACACGCGTTCATACAATTGAATGCGCGTTCAAAAAAATTGAACGCGCGTTCAATTTTTAGTGCCGCTGCGCGCCGTCGTCGTGTTCGTCACCGCTCTGCGTCGTTGGGGCCGCCGTCCGCTGCCGCGCTGAGCCGTCGCTGTCCCCACGCGCCTCCACGTCGTCGAGTTCGCCGTCTCTCTCTCTCTCTCTCTCTCTCTCTCTCTCTCTCTCT